CGGCCTCAGGGCGGGCACACTCTGGGGGCTCCCGGGGCGGGGGGCGCGCCAGGCCCCGCCGCGGCCCTGGCCCCTCACCGCCGCTGCCGGCACCGGCCGGGGCTCTCCCTGCGCGGCAGGTTTGGTGGGGGCAAACGGGCGCTTGGCCCATCGGGCCCGTGTTGGGGACGGTCCCCGCAGGCGCCGTTCGAGAGCGATCCCGCGGAGGGCTCGTCAGGTTTTGCACAGCCATAGCCTGCGCCTTCCCGCCGTTTTTGGGGAGCGGGTGCCTCGCCCTCGGAAAGCCGGTCTCCCCTGGGCAAGCCGTTAGTCAGGCTGTGGTAATTTGCATTCATTAGCTCGTACAGGGGATTATGGCATGAGCTTACAGTATGACACCTAAACGAGTTCTTCGTTCTGCTGCGCGTAATACCCTGACGTGGCTCGAAAGCAGTTGGAGGCCTTTAATACTTTTCCATAGCTAGATGTTTTTCCAGGAAACGGCACAGTACAATTAAAATTGCTGTTTGGGCAGTTGGACGGAAGAGTAGAAGGCCCAAGTTAAACTCCTGCGATTTTGTGAACGTTGGCAGTTAAGAGATGAGAAAGCGTAAGTTAATGCCTCTCAAAAAATGATAGCCAGCACTAAAAAGTCAACAGTTACCAGTTACGTTTTGTAGGTGGTCCTGTGCATGAGTTCAGCTTGGAAGCAACTCTACTTCCTTTTCTTCCTCAAGAAGGAACTGAGGGAATCGTGGAGTAATTTGGGGAACAGCCTTGGTAAACTGGAAGTATAGGCAGTGAGAGGGGGGACTGGGATAGACCTGTAGCTCCAGGTAAATGTGCCTGAGGAGACCTGTATAGGTGTGTGTGTGTATGTAGTGAGGAAAGGAGGAAATAGACTTTCTGCAGTAGCGATTTGGCTAAATTAGCTCTGCTACTTATGGAACAATTTTTCTGCTGCCAGAGAACACCTGGATCCTTAATGGTAGCAAATTAATTACAGTTTGGGCAAATCTGAAAGCATTGCTTAAGTTCTTTAGAAAAAAGGAATCTTTCTTTTTTGATTACTGAAAAAAAAAAAGCATGTTTGAGAACATGATGGCCCATGATCCTGCCCAGCCTGCAGACATTCACACATGAGAAGTATTAAAGCATGTTGCCATAGACTAATTTAGGATAACTTTCTATGGCTACTATGAATAAAATCTGTTCCTTTAGTATCATCTGACAGGATGCAGGATTCATTAATAATTTTGACTTTAAAATACTGAAGTCGGGAAACTAAGGCTTCCAAATACATTTTATTTTTAGGGGCTTACTAACATCAGGCTCAAAGTAGAATGGTTCTTACTATTAAAGTATTGTACCTGCTTGAGCTTACTCCTTCCTCCCCTCCACCCTGCTGCGGGCTCCAGAACAGCTTCCATAATGGTTGGCCTCAGCAGGGGCCGGCTGTGTCTTTTGTTGTGCAGTCGTTCTTGTTAGGGTCTGTTACGAATTTTTATTTCGTACTCGGTGAAACAGATGCACTTCTGATTCAGATTACAACTTCTAAACAAGTTGCTTCTTGGTTATTCTGAATTGTTTCTACCCTTTGCATGAGGCAAGATCATTGTGAGTACGTACACCTTTCCTTAGTATACCGGGAAATGAGAAAGGTAAAGCTGTGAGACTCTTTATAGCTAGGAAGCAATAGAGAAATCTAGACTAGAGGTTTTCTTTTGGGAAGTCTGCCTAAACTTCAAGTCAGCAAAGGGTCTATCACGCAAAGGGTCTAGGTTTAGGAATCGGGGGAATTTATTATCCCTCTCTGGAGCAATGATCTCTCTTTAGAAGGTTGAGGGGAATTTACTGGCAGTAAGAAGATTTATGGAACCTCTGTAAATTTCCATGTAGTGTGAGGCAGGCTTACATAATGGTCGCTTCCTGCCAGTTTGTTTCTATGTAAGAAATTGGACGAACAAAGTAGGGAAATCCCTTGCAGTAAATGATCTTCCAAGGCATCATTTGTGCTACAGAGTGCTGTTGGACAACTCTCAGATGCTATTGAGAAAAAAGAAAAGGCTAAAGAAGTGTTACTGCAATGCTAGGGTTGCTAAGAAGCACAGTTAAAAAAATTTGAAGTTTTAGTTGCAGATATCTGTGCTATTTGCTTTTCCTTTCTATAAATGTACTGTGCTGATTCCACTGCTGTTTTTTTTACTGAGATATTTTGTCAGGACAGAATTCTTTTAGTTCTCAAGACATTTAGTCTTTGGGCTGAACAAGAAAATTAGCAACATTTTGATTAACTGACAATAATTTGTGAGTCCTCAAAAATAGAATTTGTGTTTTGGTAATTGCTATGTAAGGAATTTATTTTGGAACTGTAGTTACTTAGGCCAAGTCCTTGCACTTCAACTTATAAACGATCCTGCTGGTTTTCCAGCTGTTGATAATTGTTTGCTTTCTCTCTCTCCCTCTTTCTGGGGTCTTGATTAATTTCTCATGGCTTGATTAATTTCCTTTTATGTTGCTGTGAAACTGAAGTTAAATCAGTGGGTATGTATTTAAGTGGAGAGGTCTTATCAGTTTTATTCAGATTATTCATAGTTCTGAGCACCAGAAGATAAAGACAAGGTACAAATGGAATAAACAGATATTGTTGCCTGTGATTCCCTTCCCTCCCAGCACAGAGCCACCTTGACAGTCAGTGAGGACTGGGGGAGAAAAAGAAGAGTTCCCTCAGGTTTGCTTACTGGCTCTTATCTGCAAGTCAAATGAGTCTGTGGCTCAGTCTAGCAGGGAGAACTCAAACTTGACTTAACGCTCATCCTGTTTGAGGGCTCCTAGCAAAGATTTTCAATTTTAACAGGAAAATGATGAGTTTGTCTCCCAGGATATCCGGGTCCCCTGGCATATCTTGATACAGTGGTTCTTCACATCTTTGGTCACCCGACAGGAAAAAAGACTCTGTGCCAAAATCTTAAGGAAAATAATGATTACATGATTTAGGAGCCCTGACTCAAGAAAATCCAAGGTCTCCATTCAAAGTACTCCTTAATGCCACTTAACTCAGAGGAGATGCTAACCGCAGCTTGCTTTACTTGGCACTTTATCCTCTTTTTGTTCAGAGCCTGAGAACAGAGAGCAGTTTGTGCAGGCTTTCCACTCTGCTTTCCGTGTTGTCCTGCAGCTGTGGAAGGAGGAGGAGGACTTGGAAGCATCCCCTTGGCAGCCTAAGGCTAGCTGTTGGCATGGACACTGACTGCGGAGTGACATCTCTGTGTCACCCCTCCTTCGGGTGCCCCGGGTGGGAAGGAACAGTAGGAGGTGGAAGGGAACAGAGAAACCAAGACAAAGGTTGGGGTCTGCAAGAGCTGTAAGGGAGTTCCCCACCAGAGGGGAGGAGATGCAGAAGACAATAGAAGCAGTTAAGTGTCTTCACCCTCTTGGGTTTGGTAATATGGTGGTTGCCATAGGAGCTGAATTTTTTTTAGGGTAAGATTTGTAGTACTTTTTCTACCATTTGAATTCATCCCTGGATATTTTTAAAGCTTTTATTTTTTTGGTTTAAGTCCCTTCATTAAAAAAACTTACCTTGTGCAAAAATGAAACAACAGCAAATGTTGGTTTTCCAGATTATGTCACTTAAAAAGCAAGTTTCCCTTGCTTATTTAGAGGGCCTGAACTGTTTGATTAGATTTCTATCATTGCACTGCTGTAGGATGTTAAAAAGTGATGCAAGTACTTTCTGGTTTAGGAACAGCCATCTTGCATCACACCTTATCAAGGTTCAGAGTGACATTGCCTCTGGGCTGTTACAGCTGGGAAATGATGCTTTCTAAAAGTCACTCTAAATTTGTGTGAAAGTTATACTAGTTCTACATGCATCAGTACAATCTTCTATCAGAGATGTCATATATATACGAAGACTAAATTGCACTCATTCACCAGTTTAAGCAGAATTCCCATTCTTCAAATTACTTCAAAGCATGCGCATGGGAAGTGACTTGTCCAACATATAGTGGCTAATCTTGAAGGGGATTGAGGAAATCTTATTTCTAAGCCTCTGCTTTAATTGCTAGGTTTTACATTACCTCTGTTCATTGTTGACATGAAAAAAAAAGTAAATTAAAAAAAGCCCAAACCCTAGTTTTCAGTTTCTTTTTATTTTCTGCTTCTTCCATCTATTCCGCAAGCGTAGAGATCATTAGCTTGATATTTCCAGTCACGAGTTCTTAATATGAACTTACATGAATATGATTAATACGGCCTATATTATACAGATGCCTATTTTGTCTAAAACAGGATGGATATAATTAAAAAATAACTTACCTGCAGCAGATTTCTTCTTTGGGGTTATCTGTTTTTATGCAGGCAGGGTCTCATTTTCCTGTATCACCTTGGCTTCTCGCTAAATGAATGGCATTTAAAAAAATTTTTTTTTAAGTCATCACTACATCCTCCATGTAAATACACGTAGAGAGAGAGAAATTTCCTGCTTTATGTATGTCATCTGCCATCTTAGAACAACCTTACACAAGTTCTTATGGTAGTTCTTGTATTAAATCTTACTTTTTAGTGTACGTATTTGCTGAATGCTCAACTTGCTTAGAAATCTGCTTCTGTAATGAAGATGCATTTTCCTGGTATTATATTATGAAATTTAATTACATTAAATTACCAGAAGTACATGTTTAACCTGAATGTGTGGAAAAATATATGATTATCAATCATGGCCTATATTTTCATATGATTAAATATATTACCTTGTAAAGGTTAATCTTTCTCTTTAAGGCATAAGTTAATTTGTGGTGTGTACAGTAACTCCAAAATGTCTATGTGTGTGTGTGTTTTGGTTTGGTTTGGTTTTTTTTCCACAGTTTTTGATGATGAAGAGGAAAGCAAGTTGTCTTACACAGAAATTTATCAGGAGTACCAAGCTCTGGTGAGCATTATTCACTATTTGTGGTAGATTTCTAAGAAGTATAATTTAAAATGTTAAAGTAGTATTTAGATGAACTTCTAATTGTGTTACCTTTTTATTTAGAATTTTCTAATATTGCCTGTCTTAAGTGTTATTTAGAAATCCTTTGAGTCATCATTTTCATATGCACTTTTATGCTTAAACACCAGATATGTAAAAAGAAACTTTAACACACAGTCATATCTCTTATGCTGTGTTACTTATTTTTAATTAAAATTAATGTATCTGAAAAATCAGTTATACTATTGCAATGATTTTCCTTTGAGTCTTAAAATACAAAGTCAGCAGAAAAGAATATACAATTATGAAAAAAATCATATGATTCTTAGGGAAAAACCTCTTAGAAAGTAAGGTTTATACTTTCTTACAGGTTGAGAAATTATTAGAAGACTATCTTAAAGAAGTTGGAATTAATGAAGAGAAATTTCAAGAAGCTTTTTCATCTCCTCTTGCAAAGACACACACTTCACAGGTAAATTTTCCTTTGTTTAAGAATATGTAGATTTAATTTTTAGCTTTATATTTTCACTGATATGGCAGGGTGGAGATGAAACTTTGAAAAGTTTTCTTGTTAAACTGTAATTTCCTAAAACATAATATGTTTGTTTATATTATGAACTTTGACCAGAAGAATGCACATCTTGAAAATAATGACAGATATTTGTGTGGTGTTGGGACACCTTTTGAGATTCGTCTTCTATGCTTTGTGTTTTCTAAAACAAACCTCTAAGCTTAGGGTGTTTCTGCCACCTTTATTTGCATATTTTTCAGCTTTATGTTAGTCTTCAGTCTGTTTACAGTAGCAGACAAACTTAAAGATTAAAACAATAGACATATTCCATAAAATAAAAGATGTTTTCCTTTGATTTTATAATAAAACAGTAAAATCTGCAAGAGAAACATTGGCCTTGAGAAGACAAGGCATGGTTAGGCAGCCCTTCACCTGCTCAAAAACATCTTTCAGAATTGTCTTGGGTATATTGGGCAGAGGAGTGGGAGCTTCTGCTGCCAGTGTTAATTGGGCTTTGCTGACATGTATCTTCCTACATGTGTAACAAGCTTCTTCGGAGCGCACATTCCTCACTCAAGCTTACACATTTGTTCAGGAAGTCAAATGAACTGCTGTTGTAAACTTACACTGGGAAACCCTCCAGGTTTTGTGATAATATTATTGTAGACATGTTGATCTAAAGACATAAACCATCAAATTATTTTCTTGACTACTAGCTCAACTTGTATGGCTGGAAAAAATAGATAGGAGAATTAAATCTAATTATTAAAAGCATGCTCCACAGAACTTAAATCTCAACATAATTTCAAGCAGACTGAGATGGTTATGATTTCTCTAGAGTTTTTAATTTTGTGCATGTTTCCCTCCCACAGGCCATTTTGCAAACAGTGTTGGCAGCAGAAGATTTTAGACTATTTAAAAAAATGATGGTACAGAAAAATATTGAGATGCAATTGCAAGCTATTAGGATCATTAAAGAAAGGAATGGTAAGAAGTGGTAAATGTGGGGTTTCACTGCTTTTCATCTTTTTAGTGCTCTTTTGATGACTCTGTAATCCGTTCATAAATGAGTATAGAATACTGGTTCAATTCCAGCTCAAGTTAATGGAAAACATTTGGCTGATTTTACTGGGACTAGGATTTCAATATTCAGCCCTTGGCTTGTATTTTCAGTGACAGCTGTCTATAGTACTTTTTAAATTAACAGATTTTTCAGTTCTGTTTTTCTGTCTAAACTTTTGTGTGAAACTTCACTTAGGGTTTTTTTTGTTGAAGAATTTTCATGATAAGTTTGAGTGTTAAAACAATTACATCAGTTCATCAACAATTGCAATATTGATAATTTGAATTATGCTGCTTGCATAGCAACAATGCTGTACTATCAGCTGCACTTACTTTGCAGTTCACACTGTACAGTTGCATATGAAAAAATGAAAGCAGAAGTTACGGCCTTTGTCATGCTAATACATCCATATTTTTAAAGAAGAGAAAATAATTTACACCCAACTCTGCTGCTCTGATGTTTCTGAAAGGATTTTCATCTACCCATTCCTTTCTTCCATGTCTTTAGTTTTAACATTTTGTTTTTTCTTTTTTACTGCAGGGTTGTGGTTTACCCCCAGCCAGCAACTAAGCACCACGCAGCCACTCACTCACCCTCCCCTCCCCGACCCCCCCCAGTGGGATGGGGGAGAGAATCAGGGGGAAAAAAAAAAAAGTAAAACTCCTGGGTTGAGATAAGAACAGTTTAATAGAACAGAAAAGAAGAAACTAATAATGATAATAACAATAATAAAATGACAATAATAATAATAATAATAAAAGGATTGGAATATACAAGTGATGCACAATGCAACTGCTCACCACCCACTGATCAACACCCAGTTTGTTCCCAAGTGGCGATCCCCCTGCCCCCACTCCCCCCAGTTTATATACTGGACATGATGTCACATGGTATAGAAAAACTCCTTTGGCCACTTTGGGTCAGCTGCCCTGGCCGTGTCCTGTGCCAACTTCTTGTGTCCCCTCCAGCCTTCTTACTGGCTGGGCATGAGAAGCTGAAAAATCCTTGACTTGGTCTAAACACTACTGAGCAACAACTGAAAATCTCAGTGCGTTACAACATTCTTCTCATACTGAACCCAAACCATAACACTATACCAGCTACTAGGAAGACAATTAACTCTATCCCAGTTGAAACCAGGACATGCATGCATGGTTTTTTTGGAGAATAATTTTTAAATTTCAAGTTTCATACAAATTTGAAAATGGTTCAGTTAGCTGTGGCTGAATTGCAGTCTATAGGAAATGCCATATAATGGTCAATGCAGAGTATGGCTTGTGCTTTACCCTTAGATGGCAAAACTTTTGTAGTTCAGAAACCTTTGCCTTTTGGCTACTAGCAACTTGATGCTCAAGGTCCAGAATCTTTTTGGAAACAGTTATAGAGAGGAAGAATTGGATGTTGGTTTGTGTGTTTTGGTTTTTTTTTTTCTTTCTCTCTGCCTGAAGAATGATGCCAAATGGAGTACAAAATAATTTTCTTTAGAGTAATGCATAAATTTTGGCATTTTTTTTTTAATAGGTGTGTTGCCCGACTGTTTGACAGAGGGTTCTGATGTGTTCAGTGAAATTGAACAAGAAGAAATGAAAATACTAAGGGAGGTTCTAAGGTAAAAAATTAATCAGCCCTACTTTGTACGTTATTTTAAAATAAAAAATAAAAGTATGTAGGGCCTAACTCTTCCAGCCTTTTCCAGGAAACTGCCTTCATCTTACAGATGACATGAATGTTCTTGTCAAAATCCTACCTAAGAGAAAAGGAATGGTGCTAGACAGTGGGTGTGATCAGGAATATTTAAAGACTGAGAGATAACCGCTCTGCCATGATGAATTGTCTTGGTGATGCATGGAATGATGTGCAACTTTAAGCCCCATCATTTCCATTCTCCCCTGAAACACCAGGTGGACCTAAAGTTAGACCTGGGTTAGATGCCTCTGGACAATAGGAGCACACTAGCTGTAATCCATTCAGGGAACACCCTAAACATTAAAGCTTTGGAAAGGCAAATTCTGCTTTTGCAGTAGGCTTTATTGCTTTCTACAGCTTTCTCCTTAGTTGTGTTCAATGACTGTTGCTATGATCTAAGAAGATGTGAGGACTGATACAACTTTTATGGATTGTCCTCCACTCCCAGTTCACATGTGTATAAACATAAACAAATAGCAGATTAATCCATTCACGTTATGTTAAATTATGCTATTTTCCCTCTGTATTCTGGAAATAATTCCCTTCCTGTCTTTAAATGAGCAAATGAAACAAGGGATAGATAAGCCATGGAAATTCTTACACAGTTATTTTTGCACAGGGAAAGATAGACCGAGGATGGTGAGTTCTGTGTGTTTATCATAATTATTTATTTCTATTAAGAGTGCATTTTCATTTAAGTCATGGAAGTGTTTTGGGTACTAACAAATTCATATTAGCTTGTAACTGTTTTGATAGTCCTCAAATATTTAAGCAGTGCTAGATTTACCTAAAAGTCACTAATATTAAAGAAGTTTTGAGTATTTACTTGTATTTTGTGTTACAGAAAATCTAAGGAAGAATATGAAATAGAGCAAGAAAGGAAGAGGACTGAAGAAGTGAGTATCTTACCTTTCCCAATGAGTTATGTTGATGATTAAGAAATACTCTGATATTCCTGTCCTGAGTGTTGATTGTATCACTTTAAGGCAATGTGTACCATCCTAAGCAAACAAAAGGTCTGTCAGGAAGGTCTTACTGACACTTCTTTTTGAAAGGTCTGTTCTGTTGTTTATGTTTTTCTTGATGGTGTCATTGACACTAGTGTTATACATGATACCATTAACTATCAGCCATTTGGTGGAGTTCATATGATAAGTATATTCCTTCTTCAGTGTCTGAATTCTAAAATCCTGGTAATGGATGTCAACCTTTCAGATCCAGAGAACATCTGAATTACTAATATTGTCAAGATCAAAGAGACTTCAAAGTATAAGCTTCTTAGAGATTACAGCATTCATAATCCTTCAGGAATTTTAAGGATCACTTCATAGACAGTATAGTTAGTTATTCATTAAGTCTATACAATACTGCCAGAATCTAATCACCAGGAACCAGAAATCCTCTCCAAGTTAGACCACCAGTTGGTCTCCATCAGAATAAACCATGCAGAAAGGTAACTGAATGTAAATGGGGACTGGCTAAATTGACAATCGTTCAGCAACTGAGAAACAAATGGAAATTGAAATTAACTATGGTAGAATAGTGGCAATAAACCTCCCCTTCACTGGGAAAACATATAAAAATAGCTGGAATTGTAGGCTGTTTCAAAAGGGAGCAGAATTGCTCTTCTATTCTTTCCTGTTATTAGGAAATTGAACGTACTAAATTTGAAAAGAGAAAGCACTGTTTCTTCAGCCTGAACTGACAAAGGAAACCACCTGGAGACCAAATGTAGCTAGCGCAGAGGTCTGCACTTTATTTCCAACCCTACTCCTGAATTCAAACCCATGAGAGGTGCAGATGATAGCTATGCTGTTGAATGGAAGTCCTAAACAGTTGGGATATTCTATCAAATTAAACCTCTCTCCCAGTGTCTGACACTGTTGAAAAGTGGTGACAAAACTCTTCTATCCCACATTACAATGATACATTCCAGGAAATGAGTCACCTGTTCTACTGGATTTCTCACAAAACCACCAGGAAACTAAAGCTTTGGCTCATTTTAAGAATTCAAGTTGTATTAAGATGCAGGCTTATCCAAATCTTTATAGACCAGCCAAGAATATCAATATTTTTGATAAACAAGCCAGATTACAGAGGCCCCAGTCGAGTTCACCTGGACAGAGAACGTGATGGTTATTGTTCAGTAATATGTTTTTGTTAGAGAGTATTTTAATACAAAATAATTTAACATTTGATGAATGCTGGGGGGTTCTGACATGAATTAGATGGTTGATGAACAGCATAGACATTTTCTGGGGAAATCCCAGCTGGCTTTACTATTTTGAGAGGTGGGTTGTGTTGTCAAGATTTCCCAGACAAGTGTAGAAGTGAAGCAATAGTGTCAAAGATTATCCAGACCTGTTGTTTCCATTCAGCTGGTTATTTCTCCATTTCTGTGGTAACTTCAGTGTATGTTCCTGGTTCTCTTACTGTATTGCATATTTCTGGTGGACAGACATCTGCTTGAAAGTCACAGGCAAAGTGTGGCAAAAAAAACCCCTACATTAGCTATTTGTAGCTGGGAAACGAGATACCAATTTACCTAATATTCTAAATTCTGACTGTTGATTAGGGAACAGGCTTTGAACTAAAATAAAAAATGCTGACTTATGACTATAAGCCAGTAAGAACCTTCCTATCAGTGAAACAAAATAAGTAGTTTGCTTTTGTTCACTTTGACAATGCAATACGTAGTGTAAACAACCTGATTTTAACTGAAAGTTCTTTTGGAGCTTTCTTTGTGCTGACAGTTTAATGCCTGAAGTACAGCGCCAGGAAAGGTAATGCTTGGTTTTGTTTGTTTGTTTTTTAATTTAAGGCACGTGATAACCTTAAATCACCAGATGTTACCTGCAGTTTTCCAGGAGATTCAAGAGAAGCTGTAAAAGTTAAGGAATCCGCTGAGGGAGCTGATGATTCGGAAGAAACTCCACGATTTCCGTTAGGTAATTTTATGGGAAAGAGCAATGCTGAGCATGCAATACGATACTATTTTCAAATTATTGAAGAGTCCACTCCTATCAAGATTTTAAGAACTTGGCTGAATAAGGCTGCGAGTAAACCATCCTGGCTTTGAAGTTAGCCTTGCTTTGAGCAGGGTATTTGCACTAGGTGGCCTGCAGAAATGCCTTCCAACATGAGTTGTTTTATTATTCAGTGATGTTAAAAGACATGTCCAACTGGAGGAGAAATACAGGAGTCTAACAGCAGTTTTCATCTTTCAATTTACTTTGCTTATGCCACCATTACTGTTAAGAACAGTATGTTCCCTGTAGACAGCTGTGAATCATTCACTTAAAAAGTTATGCTTTCTCTCCTTGTGTGTGGCCATTATAGATTTAATTTATAACTGTACAAGATTTCTTGGTAGCAATCAAATATTTCTGAAGGAACCAACCTTAAACTGTTAAGATTCATTCAAGCCGAATTGTCAGACCACCAAACTGAATCTCTTTGCCTTTGGTTCAGATTTTTGTTACTCATTTTAATCTTCTCAATTTTACATTTTTGTTTTTGAGTGGGATTGTGATGCTTACCAACTCACAATACTAAGGAGAGCTCTTATAAGTAGTCTTGAACTTCACCCAAGTTGTGTAGTGAAAATTGTCTGAATTGTTTTGTAGATGATTATTTACTCGAGAGTGTGACCAAGCCAGTAGATTTTACAGAGAGGAGAAAAAAAGGAATCACCGGTTGTGATGGAGGTGCTCTTGGTATGTTTGTGCTGCAGCTCAAGCACAAGGGTGCTGACCTGTTCAGGAAAGCAGGAAAAATCTTAGGTGATAAGAAGCATATATATGTGTGTATGTATACATGTGTATACATGCACACACATATAGGTATGCATGTATATACACACATGTATCTATGTATATAGGTATACAGAGGTGATCTTCAAAAACAGGTTGCGTATCAGTGGGATCTGCTCTCTCATGAGTGTGTGAAAAATTTGTAACGTAATATTCTAAGGTCACTTCCAAGAATATAATTTCAACTTTGGGAAATAATAGTCTGTGCTTTCTTTAGTTACATTTTTCCCATGGCTTGTACTTGTCTTTGTATGCATTCACACTGGAAGTTTTCATATCACAGACACTTGAGCTGGATACTTTTAGCCTTGGTAGTACCTTTGAGGCATACTTGCTCCTTGCTTTTTCATTTGATGGCTGTTAACAGATGAAGTGGTTGTAGGACCCTCTGTTCTTTTAAACTTAGTGTCTTTCACATTAAGAAACTTAAAAAGAATAAATTGTGTCACTAACCTTTTAAATATCTTTTTTTCTGCTTTTATCCCTTCTGTCCTCCTGCTGAGGTTTTGTTACATTTATGTGAAGTCGTCTTCTCTCCCTTCTACCCTCAGAAGTATGCAGAAGGTCTGCAGGTATATTCACATTCTTCTTTCTCTTCTCCCAGCCTGCTTTTACTCCTCTTATTTTTGCATAGTTGCACCACCTTGCAATGGCGCCTCTAAACTATGTCTGTCCTGCAGCGGCTGTTTTCCGCGTTCAGGAGGAAGGCACATTCCTAGCAAATATTCTGTCTGCAGGACTTAATCCTGTGCTTGAGAGACAGGAGCTCTTGGAGCTCAGGAGTCAAGACTTCTCAGCACTGAGTGCAGCCCTTCTTCTGTGCTGTCCAAGTGCCTGCTGAGCTGGTGCTGAGCATTCCCATGCTCTTTAAATGCCAAAGAAGAGACAGGTCTACAAAAAATTTAGCTCCTTGGAAATCTTCTTCAGCCTTGTAGAATTGGCATCTTGTGGCAGCGTAGCTGTCCAAAGAGGCTACTGAGAAAGTTTGTCACAGCTTATCCTCTGATATCACCTTTTAGAAAAGTGGGTTTGGGTAGTGGTTGCAAAAATCAAGAAGAATCTATACTGGCAATCGTCTTCTTCCAGACCCCTTTCTCACACAGAACCGAGGACCGGCCTCCAGACCAGTCTGTTATTGCCTGCTTCCAAAACATGGGCTCCCAACTAAAGGTTCGTCTTGGATAATGACTTCCACTTGACTTCCTCCTGGTGCCAGATACAACTCTGGGAACAGAAACAGCAAGAACCTTTCACTGATGGTTTCTGCCCCTCTAGGGTGGCAGAAGAGCTGCTCTTCTCTCACCTCAGTCGGTCCCTGACCCTCACAGCCCATCAGACCTGTGCTCAGATCCTGGCTCCGTGTTCTCACTCGTAGGGTTGTGTTACGGAGGAACACAACAGCTCGCCTTTCTCAACCTGAGCATGGGGAGGAATCCTGTACCTAGGGAGTATCAGCTGCCTCAGCAACATGGCCCTTGCACAAATGAGTTCCTGGAGTCAGGAAAAGGAAGAACTTTTTAAAATTTGTTTTTCATTCCCTCTAGTCTGGCATATATTTCTCTTCCTTCAGATACACAGGGTTTTTATTATCTCTTGCTATTTCCCCTTCACCTTGAGACCCAGGATTTCAGTCTGTGGACCCTTTAAAGTTTTCCACTGTATAACAAATTCAGATTTAATGGTAGTTCCCTTAATTTTCTTAATTTCACTTTGGTGAGCCTGTTACAAATAGTTTACAGATTAGAGCTTGCAAAACCATTCCTCCTGTACTTTGACCACCCAACTTGTTGCAGTACGGAGAGATCAGAAGGGTGAATTTCATAGTAAAGGTCATGCTCAACACCTTGGAGTGCAAGTGACTTTTCCAGCATTCTTGGAGAATACTTCCCTTTCTGGGTACCTGCAGGGCAGCTGCTTCAAAAGTTGCACTTGTGTTGGCACCGAGCTGTGTGTATCATGTGGATAAGAAGGATGCAGCATCTGCTGGAGTGGTCCTGGGTGCTTGTATTTTGAGAAGATTCTGAAAGAATTGTCCACGTGGAAAAGACTGTTGCTTAGTCACCCACAGTGTGAATGTACATATAGACAAGTTCTCAAAGGAAAAAAAGTGTTACATACCAGTAACTGTAATTCTTTGAGATGCACTGTCTATTTGTACGTTCACTACCCACCCTCCTTCCCTTCTCTTCTCAGTGTCTTTTCAGGTTCGTGGGTTAAGTGACACTGAGGGTCCTATGATCACATCCTACAGGTACTGCTAAGACACAAACATCTCCAGCTTGAGTGTTTGCAATATGGACAGCAACAGTGTAAATTTACATACACACAACACATTTCAAAGAACTACTTTCTGGTGAGTAGTTTTCCTTAATCATAATGTTTGTTGTGGGGTAGGTATTTGGCATGTGGTGTGTGGTTTGGGTTTTTTTTTTTTTCCCCCCTGCTTTTTAATCAGACAACTATAGCGTGAGGATTTTTTTTCTAGCAATTTTAACTGTGACCTCTCACAGAACCTCTAAGAACTTTTATCTGTCATAAACCAACATTCTTTGGAGCATCAAGACTTCCAGCAGACATATTTCAGTGAAATGACAATTCTTCAGCTTGAACTTTGTTTCACATTTCTGTCCTGGTTTTGTTTTCTGTACTTTGAATTATGCTTCTTCTCCTATGCTTTTTGCCCTACCTTTTCACAATCTTGTAATTTTCTGTACTAAAGAAAGCAGCAATGTTGAAGAGCTAAACGTGTATTACTTGTAACTTAAATGATTGAGTGGTGTTAATCCTGCACTACGTTCAGTAGAGCTAGCTTTGTCATCTGTTACTGTGGGCTGGTAGAGACCAAGGAGAGTACTCATACCTTAATACTCTGTTGTGGTTTAACCCCAGCCAGCAACTAAGCACCACGCAGCCGCTCACTCACTCCCCCCCATCCAGTGGGATGGGGGAGAAAATCGGGAAAAGAAGTAAAACTCCTGGGTTGAGATAAGAACGGTTTAATAGAACAGAAAAGAAGAAACTAATAATGATAACACTAATAAAATGACAACAGTAGTAATAAAAGGATTGAAATGTACAAATGATGCGCAGGGCAATTGCTCACCACCCGCCGACCGACACCCAGCCAGTCCCCGAGTGGCGATTCCCTGCCCCCCCCACTTCCCAGTTCCTATACTAGATGGGACGTCCCATGGTATGGAATACACCGTTGGCCAGTTTGGGTCAGGTGCCCTGGTTGTGTCCTGTGCCAACTTCTTGTGCCCTGGCTGGGCATGAGAAGCTGAAAAATCCTTGGCTATAGTCCTGAGCGACAACTGAAAACATCAGTGTTATCAACATTCTTCACATACTGAACTCAAAACATGGCACTGTACCAGCTACTGGGAAGACAGTTAACTCTATCCCAGCTGAAACCAGGACATACTCGTGTGAGTTATTTCTCAGCATTATAGCAGAAATCCATGGTCCAGCACAGCAGAATTACAATCAACTACATTCAGTTATGTGTATCAGCTCGGATATTATGGATAGACTCAAACTGACTGAACACAGTAAAATTTGTATTTCACTACCTGCATTCTTGCATCTATATGGATATATTCAGGCATATTTTACACAGTCAAAACCCTTTTCATTTTTAATGAAAGTATAGTAGGAGCAGCAACTTACCTTACCTGGGAGTAGTTGTAGGTCAAGTCAAGAGAAGTCTTAGTAAACTTCTGCAAACATACCTTGCCCTACAGTCCGGTGACTGGAGAGGCTTTGACTCTGACATCAGTAACCATGATGCCATCTCGGACACCATGGAGTTCGGCAGGATACAAAGCAAAACTAACCTCGGTACCTGCAGAGATACGAAAGGCACAGCTGGAATCAGGACAGGGTTACTTTTCTTTGGCAGCGCAGGCAGCATTTGTCCCGGAGAAGAGCAGGAGGCAAACAGGGTATCGTGCAGGACTGTTATCATACACAAGGTGAGGGACTTGATAGGGAGCGGAAGACACCAGAAGTTGCCTGAGCCTTGATTGCACCAAGGGTGCCCAGAGCTCCCCTGGCACCCACCAGCCAGCCCAGCCCATGTGGGGCTCTGAGCCCTGCCAGGGTCAGAAACCTGGTGGGTTCCCACTATGTCCCCAGACTGGGGCAAGGCTAGTTCTGAAGAGGAGTAACTGAGCTGTGTCAGCGTAACGCTTTGCACCTCTTTAGCTTCGCTTCCCCCCTCTCCTGTACAAGTTCACTTGAATACAGTATTTTCTGATTCCTTTCTCTGAAGCTGAAAGCTGAATCAGCACGCTTAGAGCTGGCTAAAGTGCACCTTCGAAGCTGCTGATGACTGGCGCGGCTTGCCAAGACAGAAATTGAAAGTGCAATCTCAATATGAACTGACTATTAGAACACTGAATATGAAATTACATTCCAAGCATTTGACAATTTATAACTTAATGCAGTAGGGGTACTTACGATGTAAAGCATTTAATTGCTTTCATACTACAAATACAGTATCTGTGTTTTTTGAAAGAAAGTTTTATTAATAAAAGGGGAGAAATGTGATTTTTTTTTTTAAGTTTTCCATTTCATCAGAAGGACATCTGGATATGGAAATAAACACCAATTTTTTTTTTTTTAAATACATTTCTATTCTTTCTCACTGTTTTTTATGTAAAATTGCTGTTTAGGGGAATCTCGGAAATCTGCGAGGGAAGACTTAAAACCAGTACGCACGTTACAAAAAGGAACAGAAAGCTTACCTCAGCCATCTTGTACCAAAGGGAAAGAAGACATTAAGAAAAGGTCAGCTGGAAAATGTTCAGAAAATGCAGCGCAAAAAGCTGGGATGAAAGGACCTGTAAGTTTAAAACAAACAAAAATAAAAAACCCCAAACATAGAACTGGAATGCAAAAAGACAGTATTACATTTAGAATATATATTTAAGACAGTATTACATTTAAATATGTATTTTCTAGTATCGCAATCAGGTGGTTTTGGTTGGTTGGTTTTGTTTGGGTTTTTTGGTGGGTTTTTTTGTTTTGTTTTTTTTTTTTTTAAACCAGCATGCAAACAGTGTTTTTTGGTATTCACCAGTTTAATTTGCATAAAACTCAGATCTTCATTCTAGTTTTAGAACAGAATTCAGCATTCAGCCTTTGTCCGTGATAATTTCTTAGCAGACAGCTCTGGCTTGAAACTTCAACTTGAATTTTTTTTTCAGCTACTAATTTTGGGTGCAAATGTGATGTAAATGCTTTTATCTCACATGCCATGCATACCAAAAGTTAATTTCAAAATGTATTTTAAAAAAAATTTTCCAGAATTTATCAGAACTTGAAAAACAGCAGCTGAAGCAACGAGAGGACTACCTGAAGAAAAAACGAGACATGCTGATGGCTACAAAGAAGGAGTCAAGAAATAATGTACTGTTACCAACAAACACTGACCAGAAAGAAGAGGAATCATCTCCTAAAGAGGTGAAGGATTCAAACATTTTAATCATCCTGATCACTTTATAAAAAACACAGATGATTTCAGTGAAGATGTTGATGTTGCTCCTGAATATTATAGCAGGGTAAAAAAATAAAAAAGAGTGGCGGAAGTAGAGAGGAAGTATTTTTAAGTTACTGTGTTTGCAGAACTTATAGGCTACAACTTCTTTTAGTGATTAAGTTAGCATTATTTTGCTTCAGTATCATCAAATCCTCATGATTTAGCCATTCATAAACTTAAATGCTGGTTTTCTCCCAATCTGTGACCTACTGTTTGGGCTCCCTTAAATCTCTGGGATTTTTTTTTTCTCCAGCTGAAATGGAAAAAAGCGTTTTTCTTTCGCAGTCTTTTCTTACAGAGGTAACAAATTTGCTCTGTTCTTTTTTGTTCTGAGTTTTGTGCTTATTTCAAAGAAAGAAATCGTTGATTTCTATCCATCAACCACTGGATATAGAAGTGACATGACAATGATACCTTTTAGAAAGACAAGGCATTCCGAAGGGTGGATGCTGCTGTTGTCTACCCAGTTGCCTCCAACAGAAAAAAACAAGTCTGGGGGAGGGTTGGACGTGTAGGACAGACACAGTGAGAGCAGTGTGCCCTCTTGGAAGGGGTACAGCTGGCAGTCAGCTCCTTCCTCAGGGTCTCGTTCTGTCCAAAGGCTGGTCTCTCTTCAGAGACATGCGTGAAGGTACTTAGTGAATTAACCACTATGTTCCTTGACTTAAAAAAAGTGCTGAAATCACAAAAAATCCTTGCATCATGGGGATGATAGAAAATCTAGTTTGGGGAAAAAAGTAGTAAATCCTATTGGGGAAAGAAAGTACCAACATAAAAAAACCTCGGAATCCTATGACAGGATAAAGGTCTACCAATATAGAGGTCTTTATCAGAAAAAGAAACCCAAACTTTTTTTGTTAATCATTGTTATGGTTAATATGACTTAATGCATTTGTCACAAGTAGATCTAATCTACATTTATATGGAAAGAAATGCTTGAAAACTCTCAACACAAATGAGGAATCTAGAAGACCTTAAAACCCACACAAAACAATGTAGTAACTGTTAAGTTTAAAAAAAAAAAAAAAAAGAAAATCAAATCGCTACTCTTCTTTACAGAGCACATACTTCAGACTGGAGATCTTCTATTGCCTCTGAGTATTTTTCAGCGTTGCTGAGCATTTTTTTTATGCTCAGAACATGCCCAAAATACTGTTGATTGGGGAACTTCCAAAACAACTAAGCAGCACCCGTTGAATTTGAGGTTAGTCCTCTCAAAAAGATCAGTATGGTACTGTGGAAAAAAGGCAGATTGATGTGAAGAGCCAGTCATCTGCATCCTGGGATCCACTTCTCAAGAAATAGAATAATAGTATTTTTCTAAATCATTCTGGAGAGCAAGTGAGTTTGAAGGACAGCTGCTGCAGCCTCAGGTTTGCAGGTGATGTTACATGGCTGCTCCTTGTTGGAGAAACCATGTGTCGGCTACCAGATCTGGCTGCCACCTCTGGTTAGCAGTTAGCGTTGGAAGTCAGACTACCTACCAGGAAAGCCATGCAGTTCATTGCAATGTTTTTTCACTTTGTTTTTAGGAAATGTCAGAAGAGAAGCAAAGGTTACTACAGAAGAGGAAAATGCTTGCCGAAAAACTAAAAGAAGAAGTTATTAACAAGCGGTAATTTTAAGAAGCTCATTGCAGACCCCAAGAACAGAAGTATGTTTTTAGAATAAATTATATCATCAATAATTGAATGGATTTATTTTCCAATATTACACTTAGTTTTATAGAACTTTCAGACAAGCAACTCAGTAAGTTATAATGTATTGAAAATTACACTGAAATACACTAAAAACCGCTTATTTTCCAGAATGCTGGAAACCGCCTGACTTCCACTGGAACATGTTCACCAGTGAGGCCATTTAACATCACTGCAGCATTCAGATTTGCTAAGCTACTGGTCTCTGCCAGTCGATATTATATAGAACAAAAGCAGATAGGAATTACTTTTAACAGATCTCACTATGTGAACCATTCTGAATGCATTAGAAATTTTAACTTTTTTATTTTTAAAATTATAGAACTTTGTTGCTCTTATTAGAATATTATAAAGAAATTACTATTTTTCAGCTGTGCAATGTAATAAAGTCTAAATTCACATGGAAGTTCCAACTATGACCATCGTATTTTTGAGAAAGATGATGCAGCTTGGAGTCAAGACATGTACATATTAACTCTGGATTACATTGCTTTACATACTTTTGAGGCAGTCTACCAGTCCTTAGGTTCTGTTCTGCTATAAATGCAACTTCAAGTAAAACTAATTGCTTTAGTTACAAAGTAAAAGCTAGGGATTTCACCAGCAATTTGGATTCAAAGTAGAAATCTTTAAAAATCTTGTTTACTAGTTCAGCTTTGACAGACTTAAACTGAAGCCAGGAGAGAGGCTATCCTTTGCACTATGTCATTACACAGCCAACTGCAACAGTAACTCATTAAAAGAAACAACCCACCAATTCAAGTTTCAATGTAACTTTTTATTAAAATAGTATTTATAACTGATACATGTTGGCAGACGTTCTTTTCTTTTTGAAAAAGAGCGGTAGTTGAAGGACCCCAGGCACCGGAACCCGGCTGCCCACAGGCAGAACCCAGGCAGCACCGACCAGGTCAGACTGGGAAACAGCGTCTGTGGGGGTGACGGCCCCAGACAAAAGCCAGTTAAAAAGAGTGCTGCATGTCACCTTCTACAGGGATTGTAATTTTTTTTTTTTTTTTTTAAACGGGACATCTAATGCCACTTTATGCAGTCTTTCTGTAGGAACTATAAAAATTCATGACATTCTTGTTTTTGCTGTAAAAAAAACCTCAGGTTGGTCTGAAAGTATTTTTAAAGCTCCTTACAGTACTTCAGGGAAGAGTTGGGGTCGTGGGGAACAGAGCAGGAACTAACACACTTCTGTCGGAGACCCCCAGAGAACTTGTTCTGGGTAGCTGTTAAAGAGAATTGGGACAACTTGGGTCCGCAGACCAGGTGACGCAATTTTTCAGCCTCAGGTGAGTAAAGGCACATACCGCATAACTCTGCTGCTCACGTAGCGTGTAGAGCGCTGGAAGAAGTTAGTCATCGTTACCGATGGAGAGAAAAGACTCATCAGGAAGAGAACCAGATGATCGTGAGCAGGAGAGCGAGCACACGACGATGACACTGGAGCTATGCTTTACCAGCAAGCACTTCCTCAGATCCTCTGCGTTTGGAGCTGACGGGGCATTTCATCGCACAGGTGAAAAATGAGGAGTCCCATTCTTGGTCGCCTGGAGCCCGCAAAGGGCAACACCACTGTCCCCAGGTCCTATCATCCATCAGAATGCTTGGGTCTAGCTTAATGCATCGGGAAGAACTCACACATTCCCTCTGGGATTTCATCTAGTGGTATAGAGTTACTTTATAAAACTGCATGGATAGCTATCTTAAAAAATATTCTAAAATGGCCACATTTAAAATTCTGAGTTAACTTACCATGTACAACAAACCAAACAAAAGCAATAATTATGGAATTACAGGGTCACATTTTAATTCCTGAATTTTACAGTTCAGCATTAATATCACCACATGTATACAAATGGTGTAAAACAAGTACAGTGGTATTTTTAATACAAAATAAACTTCTGTTTTATGGAAAAAACTATACTTCATATCTACACAGACAGCCCATCTTTTTCCAAACGATAGCTAAAATTAAAATTAACTACAAAAATCTCCAAAACAGAGAAACTGCTTCAGTTTAAACTATTCCAGGAGAAATGGACCCATAACACATATTACAAGAGTGATCTATGTGGTGGATTGCAGCTGGTTTTGTATTTTAACATTTCTGACACATCAATTTCCTCTCACTTCATCATGATCTCAGATCACATATGGGCAAACTAACATTAAAATATTTACAGTTCACTTGCTGCTCTTGCAAATAAAACCTGGACTGTTTGCCTCTTATCGCCATCAACTTATCTATTTTTGTCGCAGTTTGCTTACCTACATGGAATGTGCTTTTATTTGTTAAAAAAGCAGCTTTCGTATTACACCCAGATTCAGGTGCTGCTTGTTGATTCTGCCTCAAAGACCAGTGTTCTGTTAGTAATAGTTCCGTCTTGGTCCAAAGTGACTTTGGTGTTAAAACGCCGCTAAATTCATCACTATGAAAAACCTGTTAGTGTTTCTTATTACCACCTCAATTACGCAATTTAAACTCGCAAACAGGAAAATGGCTTGCTGCTCCGAGAAAAGACAGCTCGTTTAACAACACAGAAAGTGATTCAAATTCGGTATCTTCCACAACGTGAAGCCGACAGCTACTCGGGTGTGCTGTGTACAGCACCACTTTGACACAAGCAGCTCCTGGAGCTATTTTGGAAGCGATCGTTCCTTGGCATAGATATGACCGGCTGTCTAATCGAAAAAAAACAAGCAAACCCATCCACTTTGCATCCAGCTTCCATTTTCTCTTGAAAAATACAAAGTAAAACTTACGTTTAACTGTTTTAAACAACTCAACATGCACTATAACTGCAGTGTCCCTCCCTCCAACCATGAGAAATGCAATTTAATTGGTAAGAAATGGTCCCAAAATCTGGATTGTTCTTAGGCAAACAGAGTTAGTTTTCCCTTAAAATTTTTTTAAAAGAGGCATTGCTAAAAGAACACAACTGACAGCACCATTACAAAATTAAGATTACTGGGTTCAAAATTTAAGCTTGATTTTTTTTTTTCTACTTCTGTTAAACGCCGGGGAAACCCTGCAATATTTTTAAAAAAGTGTTTACCATACCTTTCCCTCCCCCTGCCCTCCCGACACCTGAGACTTTCCTTGCTGAGAAGCCATCATCCAGGTTCTGTGAATACTAACCCACTTTTTTTTTTAATTTTTCATTTTTTTTGACAGCCTGAATGGCAGACTCCTTACTTACTAGAAAGATATTCAGTTCCTTGGAAGCTTTGTGTTTACAGAACTAACCCTTTCTAGCTGATAACTGAGTTTCTTTTGCTACTCCTTGTATTATCTTATATACTCATGGGAGAAAGCTTTCTGAATCAGATCCTTTTTAGCTCTTAAAACAGTTGCAGCATTTGAAACCCCATAATAAAAGTTTTTATTCCAAAGTTTTGGTTTCATTTATGAACCCAAACGAGGTCTTTTCCTTGGAGATGTCTCCTCCTCTTCATCATCATCTTCATCATCAGGATAATCCACTAGGCCAACTAGACTTCCCTGCCAATTTAAAAAAAAAAGAAAAAAAAAAAAGAAAAAAAGAAAATCTCACATTGAAAAAAATACCCAGGAACATGCAATTTTAGTACATAACCCCCAGCCAACCTGCCCGGGACATGCAAGCCTGCCGCAGAAGGTTTCTTGGTGATGTTTTTTTCATTCTAAGACCCATTTGTCTTGAGACATGGTTAAGAAGTACTGCGACTTCCTTGCTCCTCTGGATCTGGCCTTGGAATTCTTACTTACTGTATTTCATCTGCTTAAAAACACTTACTAATTCCCTGATGGCAGGAGGGCACTAACATTAATCCAGAAAAAAAAACCCGATCACACACACACACAGCAGCAACTGGACAGTTAGAGCTGAAGAGTGGGAGCCGCTAAATTAGGCAGAAGATGCAAGATTAAACTCTGCCCACCAGATCACCAACAGACTCCAGTCCATCTAATACTGCTTTAAACCTTCCCCAAAACTAGTAAGGGTTTAACTAGGCAGGCCTTTGGATGAATTTACATGTCAATAAGATACCCTGCCTGGAGACCTTACCACATTACACCCAGTAAAGTCTCACGATACTGCTCTGCTGTCCTAAGCGAGGACAGCAGCTTTTGTCCAAGTTCTCCCACCTTTGTGGCTGTCACCGCTGTGGTCAGGGTTGCGTTCTTCGAAGAGGAGCCGTTGGAGCTTGCTGGTGACGTCTGAGCTGCCACGGATTTACTGTTTGCGCCGTTTGCACCATTGGCTGCGCTGGCTGAGTGGGAAAAAGTGAATTTGAATCCCCCAGCTGAAGTCCTTTTTGGAAGATTCTCTTTGTCTTCACTCTCCTTAGCTGAGGGACAAACATTTTCATACTTAGGTATCAGCTGTACACCATGGAGTACAATCCACATCACAGCATAATCACAGGGCAAAAGCTGCCTTTTTTTATCTTTTTAATTCAGTTTAAATCAAGGGCTCACCTACTGACCTCATCCAAAGCACGCTAGCATTCAAACTGAGCATGGCACAGATGCTGTGGACGTGGGGACATTGCTCACTCAGCGCGCACGAGTGCATGTAAAGTTTTGCTTTTGAATGTCATTTAAACAAGATGCACACTTGGAGCAATTTAACTCATTATTTTAATCCTAAACTAGCTTGCAAAGACATGTTAAGAATTCATTACTTAATTACACAGAATACGCTTACTCCTGCTTATACAGAGCACAAGCAACTGGTTTGTTTACATGATACTCCACGTTATGTGGCACAGAGCACTTCCAGTGCTGACAAAGTGAAATGGAGTAAATACCTTTTTTAGTTTCCATAAATTTTTCATAGCTATCTGGAAAATCATCCTCCTGTTTTGATTTCTCAACCGGAGGTACAACAGCTTCACCTTCTTCCTCTTCATCTTCATTGAACCACATT